AGTCAGCTATGGAATTACTAGAAGAAAACAATAGATCAACGTACTTGCAATACGATTTGGCCATGCAATTATCCCAACTAGATAATGTTTCCGGGGCGGATTTGAGATCGCTCACAAAGTCCCGCGGCCATATCGGGAATGGCGTTGTATCCACCGGACTCATTTTGGTGGAATATGAATCCTAAGATTGGGTTATCCGACCCCACACGGTCAATAGTACGGGCTATATGCGATGGTTCTTTATCCAGATATCACTCTGTTAAGGCACAAGTACACGGTATGCGACGCAGACTTGAGTGTAAAACATGTGCTGCTTGCGCAACGAAGTGGAACTAAGGTCAGAATGGGAGGTTTAGATGGTCACGGTCGCATAAGTCACCGATCAACGACTGCCCACGGGACTCGATTTTTAGTTTCTTTTCGCTGAGTACGATTCCCTCTTGCATCGGCAATCAAGAGTAAATGAGTGGTCCGGTTTGTGACGTTGGTGATATGTTGAAAGAATGCAGGCTTTAACCTTGGTAACGCGGGAATTCGAGGTACGAGATACTAATTCTTCTTAGAAGCAGAGAAAGTCGCAATACAACGTCAACAAAAAAGGAAGGATTGGAAGAAATCAATATTTCTTAAGGAAAGTGCTTGGTAGTTGGTGATATCAATGCACCGCCTCCAGGAGGTCGCCACAACCAACAGAGGGAGAGAGAGGGAGGGAGAGACTAGGTGACAATAATTCGAATGAAAGATACGTGGGCGGAGAAGGAAAGACGAGGTTCAGTCGCCCGCGAGAACAAGGTTGAAAGGGAGGATGGAAAGGAAGGAAAGGGAGGGGGAGATGAAAAAGTTGAACAAGGGGAGAAAGAAAGAACAATTATTTTTTTCCCACAGGGATCAGCGCATGGAAGAGAGCCAAAACGCTCATCACAATTGCCTGGGATGGAGAAGAGGTTCGGTGGGTAGCCGATCCATTAAAAAGTAATCTCGGTGGTTGAGGAACTCAGGTACGGGAAGTATCCATTAATACACTTACACTTACACTTACAACTTAACTAGTACAGTTCACCTCCTCACATTGTAATCTAAAACTAGGTACATACAGGTACTCTGCCTTCTTTTCCCTCTCCCACCCTCATGGCTGTTGATCTACTACTTAGTAGTACTTCTCGTCCACAATCATTGGCAGTCGCAGTGTCCACTTGGCTCGTCTAAATGGTACGCCAGTACGAATAAAGGTACCGAGTACGGCATTCTTGACCTTGATATGGAAACCTATACGGGAGGTAGCAGACATTCGTGGGTCAATGCGATAGTCGTTAAATGTCGTTGAATGAGGTTAAATTACTTTATTAGAAAAAAATATTTCGGTGCCCCATACTTTTTTTCATGCACAGTGAGCCAGTTCGGCCCCCCAAAGTCAAAGAACCGAAGCCAAAGAATTCTACGTTCCTTCACGGGCCAATGGTTCCGCAGGAAATTAGTTCCTCTTTTTTTTAGCGTCTTCTCCGCCAGTGCAATTACGAGTCGCGCACAAGGCTCCAGAGATCCCCTTCCCAGTACTTACTAAGGAGTAGTAGTAGCGAAACAATTATTATCTTCATGTCTACTGAGAGTCATAGTAAAGTACACCGCCGACGCCTTGCTAGCTCTTCAGAATGCTTTGGAATGTTGAAAACGAGCCAGATTCGAAAAGGAAATGCATGCACCTCGTACTGCAAGCCTTAACTTTGAAGTAATTAAAATCGTAATTGCCCGGATGGTCATTATAATAATAAAAAGAGATTATCCACGTATGCTAACAAACACAAAGGAGTTCATAGACCCATCAAACATGCTCTCGGCTGCATCCTCCTTGCTGGGTATTGACAAAGAAGCAGGGGTGCAGGAGATTCAAAAAGATGACACCAACGCCTGTGATAACAGAATCCGAATCATGCGATCATTTCGAGTTTTGGATTAAGATCTCGTTCAACGACTAAACGGTCTCGAGAAAAAAAAAATTTATACTTTGCTGGCATTTGGTGGTGGAGGGCCCGGTGGTGGCTGGTAGGTCCGGTCGACTCCGTTATGATACGCATTCGGCGGTGACTGCAACTCGATGCCCGTTTGCTGTCCTCCAAAGTAGCCGTAGGCTTGCGGTTGGGGTGTATACTGAGGCGGCGGCTGGTGCTGATAATGAGGGTCTGCATAGTAAGGATGTTGATGTTGTTGTCCGTAGGGAGGCGGGCCAGCAAGCCATGCTGTGCCCGGATGAGGTTGAAGGCCGCGAGTGCGACGGCGGCGAGCGTTATAGCATCTAGCAGGACGTTAGCTTCATGCAACTGGCTCGGATTGAGGTCCTCCGCCAAGGACGGGAGTGAGGGACTTACGCAAAAAGAAAGAATATGATAAAAGCACAGCCAACAATGACGGCAAACGCTACCCAACGACCCCAGTCATACCAGCTACTCGGCCTACAGACCCAATCGCCCCAGGTATTATATCCACTACGAAGACACTGTTAGTTTCGTTTCATTCCATTGACCACATTACTGTCATGAATGTTGGGCTATGTAACTCACCACTCTCGGCGGGCGTGAATGACACCCATCGTGGCTGAAAGGCCTCTTTATCCGAGGCCGACTGTAGAGCGGAGAATGACGTCGATCTCAGAGATGAGAGCTTCTGGTGCTGAGGAACCAGCAGAGTAAATGGGTAATAACAAGCTCAGCGATCTTCCTGGAATGAGAACACAAAGGTCAAAGAGCTTTTCGATCCGAAGGAAAGAATTAATCGAGGGACCAATGTAAGGGGAGAAAAGGAAGTGAAGTTCTTGTACGTCTGAAGGCAGCAACGAAACCGCAGCAGGAATGGCGCGGGTAAATTATGGAGACAATGAATGGACCTTTTGGTCCTTACTCGGAGTGTGGCTGGTGCTTGGCGACCTTACGCCGCCCGGTCTGTTTATTTCTTGGGTTACTTTTCCGGTGGGTAACAGTAGGATTTGGTAAGGATGCGCAATAGGGCTGGGAATCGAAGAACACGGGGGCTAATTAGATAATAATAATAATAATACCCTAGTTAATAATAAATATAAAAAGAAAAGGGGAGTTCTTTAACACCCGGTGGAGTAATGTTCAATTTCTTCGTATATAGGGTGTTTTATACTGAACCCATTCAACGTACATAACCTCTCACAATTATCTCTAATACTTCACCGCATACGTAACTACGGGGGCATTCCGAGTGGCAAGCGAAGACGGCCGATATTATAGCTCGCCTCGGTACTGGATATATAATCATGGTCTAAGCCACCAAACACCTGACTTGATTGTTTTCCTCCGCGTGAAACTAAAGAAGTTCGATGGTTTATGATTTGCTGTCTGGCTTTGCCCGGTTCCTCGGATGAGTTGTTAGTTTCAGTTTCCGTTCCTTCATAACGCTCAGCATCCGCTAGTCTTGTGATCAAGTTGTGCACAGCCTGTGATACTAGTCGTAGACTCTAGGCATTACTAGAATTTTGAATGCATGGTGAGCATGACATCTCTTACTTATTGGTCAGTATCGCGCAGATTTGACATTGGTGCGGTCCCAGTGAAATATGCGATATATATCTGTAGGACTGTCATCTATCGAAAGCGAAATACCATTGAGCTACTGGCAACCTGACTATTCCGAACGATGCATCTTGAGACGGAGATTGATAGACCTAGCGAAGGGCTTTTGGCTGTCGGCAACACCTGGCTGGCTATGTCTTTGTGATTTCCGACAGCTCATAGTATCACATTGGTATATGTAGGAATCCAATACTACCAGTGAAAACATGTGACATGTATATCAACTAATTTTCTAATGTAATCGAACGGATAGAAAATGAGCTAGAAACCGAGACGGATTTTATATTTTAGCTCATGTAAGACTCTAACAAATGGTGGTTCGCTGCAGGATCAAGAGCGCCCGCCAAGATATATTAGGAAACAATTCGCAACTCAAGCATTTCTGTGTACTACTAGACCTAGCTCATGTTCTTGCTCATATCAAAAGTAATATATGATAAGAGATCGTTGCCTGTCTCAGCTATATTAAAGTCTCTATGGATAGATCACAAGATGCTGCAAATGATGAAAGAAAAGTAAACTTGGAAAAATATTTTGCATTTTTCATTTAGAAACAAAGGTGGATTTGGACATGTAACCTGTACTTGGTCAAGGCCACTCCACCATAATAAATGACTATCACGATCACCAGGCCATCAAGCAACCTTAGCCGATCGGCAAGGATATGGAGTAGACAATAATTTGCTCATGACTGGGTGGTCTATGAATAGGACCCCAGAAGCCTTTGAACTTTGGCAGGCGTTGTTGGCGGGGTTGGATTTGCTGGTTCGCATGGAGGGCTTGATTAGTTCCCGTCTTCGCATCTGCAATGCCAACGCATCGGTTGGTCTGTGTGCTCTGCTCCAACACGATCCTCATAAATAAGACAGGCGCCAGTGTCTCTTTTGCCCCCCCTCGCTCCCTCCTCCACAGCTATTTGGCCTTGTCCTTGACTTTGTAATTCAACTCGAATTGTGGATTCGCCCTAGGATTTACTACATTATATATCTTGGAATAGCGCCCCTGAATCAATGTTCATATTTGGATCTCCTCTCCAACTCACGTGCCTTCCATCTCAGACGTCATATAATCCAAAAGCCACTCACTATGAGATTGGGAATCAATGTCTCCATAATATAAGCCCACTAAAAATTACATAGAAACATGGGTCATCATGCAACGAATGAAATTAACAAGCCGTGAAAGAGAAGCTGAATGAGCGCACGTGCTGTAGCCAAGAGGCAACAAAAAGCAAACAAGACAAAGAAAGAAAGAAATTAACATCAATGACGCTAAAGTTTAATGTGCCTGGTTCACATCGTCAACATCATTACATCGGAGGCTGCAATCCAAGAGGTTGAAAGAGTCTACAAAAGTTTAGGCCCGCGGCCTGGAAAGGAAGGATGAGGCAGGTGCTGTTTCCCGCGACATTCATCGACTGGCTTTGGCGATTAACCAGTGCAGAACAGCATCAAGGTTAGTCTCTTCTTTGGCACTGATCCCATAACAGCTCACTTCGCGATGGGTAATGGATTTCAAATCCATCGCATCAATCAGTTCATCGACGGACAGCTTATTCGGAAGGTCGGACTTATTCCCAAGGACCAACAGCGGAATACCTTCAAGAGTGGGCTTGTTCATCAACTCGTGCAGCTCATCTGTGGCGACCGGAAGTGCAGCGCGGTCTGCTGCATCAACGATGTACCTGGTTCGAATGTCAGAATAGTGACAGCAGTAATGGGTCCTGTTCCAGAGAGGACAAAGAGGTGAACTTACACTATCGCATTTACACCGCGGCAATATCGCTCCCACATTGGTCGGAACCGTGGTTGGCCTCCGAGATCCCAGCTAGATGAGCGTTAGCACCACGATGGGGGACCATAGCTGACAAGCGCTGGTACACTCACCATTTCAAGGTCACATGGCCTTTCTGAACCCGCTTCGTGTTGAAGCCAATGGTGGGGATAGAACTGTGGGGAGGTTTAGCAAGAGAAATGACAACTTTTACGGCTAGGCTAAGCCTACGCGCTGACTTACTCTACAGTGAACTCGCCTCCCTACATGGTTCGTTAGGTCACGTTAGCGATGGTGGTCGAAATACTAGTTCGGTCGATCCAGATGAACGGAGGCATACCGCAAGCACGCGCAAAAGTGACGATTTCCCTGCATTCTGAAGCCCGATCATGGTGACATCCATCTCCGTCGCCCTGCAATTTCGAAGTACAAAGTACCGCTCTTAGCAAGCCGAACCTATTTTGTTTTTGCGGGGACGGGCCGGGGAACTATTTCCGGGAGAACCGCAAAAAGCGATGATTTATTGGAACAGCGGCCCACTTACCAGAACATCCTCAGGAGCCAGTCATAAATAGTCCGAAAGATACCCGCCATGTTTGCGATTTTTAAAAAAAGAAAAAGAAAGAAAAAGCAGAGAGACCCCACTGTTTGTACAAGAGAAATTAATCAAATGGGAATGAAGGGAAAAGAAGTGACAGGACGGCCAAGAACGGTCGAGAGAAAGGGGAAACCAACAGAATGGTCGATTGTTCTGTCGCGAAGTGGCGATGGTGGGCGAAGATATCGAGACTTAGGATAAGAGTTTTGTAAGGTTAAGAGTGGGGATGGTGGTGGGCTTGTTGAAAGGACTCGAATCCCGCGACACCGGCGGACCACGAGACAATGAATGTAATCAAATAAGACGTGAGGAAGAAAAGTAAGCCTAGTGGTAGTGAAATTGGTAGTTTAGGGAAAGCAGGGAACAAGACGACGGAAAAGCGATGTGAGGTCTGGAAGAGGAACGACACCGAATCAAGTCGAGCTGGACTTGATTGAAGGGGGCGGCGGCAGAGAAACTCCCCAGACCAAAAGCGTTGTGGAGAGTGCGGCAATCTTTCTCAGTTTCACGCGCGCTTCCTTCTGATGAAGGAATAGGGAATGATATTTCTTTTTGCTCACTGCTTTGCGGTGAAACTGAAGTGTTCCGATCTATGTGCACGCATGACCGCTCGTTCTGCGCCGCTTTGGAGGGGAGCGCTTAGTGGCCCCTGTCACTCATTTCCGTCAGTCTGGACGAGGTCAAAGTCCCTACAGGAGTTAGTTCGAAAGCCAGTGGTTCTGTCGGACGGAAGAGGTTCCTGAGTTTGCTCTGAAAAAAAAAAATTGTTATAGTGATAGCGATCTAATCAGTGAATATATAACTGGTTTTTATTTGTAATTCCTGTTCAAAAAGTGAATGTACTTGTCTTATCTGGAATCTGAAAGGGGAGCAAGAAAGCAATGAACTAGTACTCCGTACGTACTTCACGAAACGTCAATCATCTATCAGCTTGTTTGCCTTGTTGCCTAAGGCGGCGTCCCGTCCCGCACATGGGTCCCGTGATGCAAGCCTTGCATAACGTGCTACTTCTTGCGGCCTCAGGCAGAGAAGAGCTGTTCACCACCATCTATCAGCACGTGATGATATCTGTCCGCCGGTTCCACCTCGAAAAATTTCCCCGTCGCAGCGACAGGAAGGCTTCATTCAGACCAGCGCTCGTACTTCTATTGCGAGTCTCATTCCCTCTTGGTCACTCTTCTTCCCTCGCCTTTTATATCTGCGACAGGAGGGGATGAGATCTTGAGGCAAACCAGTCACACCGAATCACATCGACTGGAGCCTCGGCTTGTATAGACTGAAGTGTACGATTGAAACTTTTTCACCCCCGATCCTCCGGGAAGAAAAACGTTTTCCTCGATCAAAGTGATTCCAATTCACCATGGCTCCTGCTAAGACAGACACCAATTGGTCTGTCAATTATGATGTGCTCAGACGGGAGCAGCTATTCAAGAACCCTCCCAAGGATCGTACAGCTTATCCTGCACTAGCAGCCTCTATCAAGCCGCACGTTGATTCCTTCAATGCGCTCTTCGAGGACAGCAAAGTTTTGGAGGCGGGATTGAAAGATATTGGCACCAAGACATTCATCGATGGCGAAGCAGAGACCCCTGAGCAGAAGAAGGCTAGACAGGCAGAGTGCCGAAAGGCCCCGAAGCGGAACAAGCTTCATGTTCGCATCAAAGAAGTCTTCCTCGAGAAGCCTGCCATCCCCCCGACGAACAAGTTCACCACTCGTAACCGCAATATCTACCCATCCGAATGTAGAGAGAGACATGCGACATACCGTGGCAAGCTGCGCGCCAGGATCGAATATCGGGTGAACAATGGAGATTGGATGGAGGCCGTCAGAGAATTGGGCCAGGTTCCTATCATGATGAGGGTGAGTGGTTGTAGTGGATCCATATTGGAGGTTCTCCTGTTTCTGGTCTGGCTAACCCGAGTGTGGCATAGACCAATCGATGCCATCTGGAGAAGGCAACTCCCGCGGAACTTGTTGAGCACAAGGAAGAGTCTGAGGAACTGGGCGGTTATTTCATCGTAAACGGAAACGAGAAGTTGATCCGAATGTTAATTGTCGGAAAGAGGAATTTCCCCATGGCCATTGTTCGTGGTTCCTTCGTTAAGCGTGGCCACACGTATACCAAGTACGGTGTTCAGATCCGATCCGTTCGTCCTGATCAGACGTCCCAGACCAATGTCCTACATTATTTGAGTGACGGTAATGTTACTTTCCGTTTCTCATGGCGCAAGAATGAGTTTCTCGTCCCAGTGATGATGATCCTTAAGGCGCTGGTGGAGACGAATGATCGCGAAATTTTCGAAGGACTGGTTGGCAGTGCCTCTTCCGAGGGAATCAGCAATACATTTGTCACGGATCGTGTGGAACTTTTGCTACGGACATACAAAGGATACAACCTGCATAGTCGCTCAGCCTGCCGGGCTTACTTGGGAGAGAAATTCAAGCCCGTCCTCGGTGTTCCAATGGACATTTCCAATGAGGAAGCTGGTACAGAGTTTCTTCGTAAGGTTGTATTGCCACATCTTGGTAATCAAAACGTTACCGAAACTCAGGACTACGACAAGTTCAAGTTAATCATGTTCATGATTCGGAAACTTTACGCCCTCGTCGCTGGTGACTGTGCCCCTGACAACCCCGATGCCGTCTCTAACCAAGAAATCTTGCTTGGTGGTTTCCTCTACGGTATGATCCTAAAGGAGAGGCTAGAGGAGTGGGTCAGGTCTTTCGGCCCCATCCTGAGAGACTGGAGCATGCGTAATCACGGCGCGAAGTTCACTGACCCTTCATTCGAGAGGGACTTCCTGAGCAAGGTCGTGAAGCGGTCAAACGAGAACATCGGTGGTGCGCTGGAGTACTTTTTATCGACTGGTAACCTCGTTAGTCCCACAGGTCTCGATTTGCAGCAGACATCCGGTTATACTGTCATGGCTGAGAAAATCAACTTCTACCGGTTCATCAGTCATTTCCGAATGATACACAGAGGTAGTTTCTTCGCACAATTGAAAACCACCACTGTTCGAAAGCTCCTTCCCGAAAGTTGGGGTTTCTTGTGCCCTGTTCACACACCTGATGGATCTCCTTGTGGTCTACTTAACCATCTTGCACACAAGTGCTTGATTGCCACCAGTGATATCGATGTTTCTCACCTCCCAAGGCTCTTGGTCCAGCTCGGTGTGCGCTCGGAGTCCTCGGTCTCATTGGGAGAGAGTGTAACGGTTCAGTTGGATGGTAGAATCGTTGGTTTCTGCTCACCGAAGCAGGCTCGCATGATTGCTGATACACTGAGACACTGGAAGGTTGAGGGCAGCCACAATGTCCCTCGAGAGCTGGAGATTGGATATGTCCCTAACTCTAACGGTGGACAATATCCTGGTATTTACATGTTCTCGCAAGCAGCTAGGATGTACAGAGAGGTTAAGTACTTGCCTCTCGATAAGCTTGACTACGTGGGACCATTCGAGCAACCCTTCATGGAAATCGCCTGTCTACCATCAGACCTTGTCGCGGGTATTTCGACGCACATCGAGTTTACACCGACAAACATCCTCTCCATTGTGGCCAACATGACTCCTTTCTCCGATTATAACCAGTCGCCTCGTAACATGTATCAATGTCAGATGAGCAAGCAGACAATGGGAACGCCCGGAACAGCCATCGATTATCGTACAGACAACAAGCTTTACCGACTGCAAACCGGACAGACACCGATCGTACGCCCCCCTCTTTACAATGCTTATGGTTTGGATAACTTCCCGAACGGCACGAACGCAGTTGTTGCTATTATTTCGTATACGGGTTATGACATGGACGACGCTATGATTATTAACAAATCTTCCCACGAACGTGGATTCGGTCACGGTACAATCTACAAGACGAAGGTCCATGCTCTCGATGAGAAAGAGTCGCGAAGGAACAAATCCAGACGTGAAATTACTAAGTTGTTCGGCTTTGCTCCAGGTGGTGAAATTAGGGCTGAGTGGCGTAACACCATCGACGAAGATGGTCTTCCTCACATTGGCGCTAGGGTTAAGGAGGGCAGTCTCGTCGCTGCGTACCACAACGTGCGTTATGATGCAGCGTCCGACTCCTATGTGAATGTCGACGGCATCACCCATTTTGTCAAGTACAAGGATGCTGAAGAAGGATACATCGACAGCATCCGTATCATGGGTGCCGAGACCGGTATCGAACCGTGCCAGTCCCTCAGCGTTAAGTACCGTATCCCGAGAAAGCCTGTCATTGGTGATAAGTTCTCCTCTCGTCACGGACAGAAAGGTGTCTGCTCCCAACTCTGGCCGGCAGTCGACATGCCCTTCTCCGAGAGTGGCATCCAGCCTGACCTTATCATTAACCCTCACGCTTTCCCATCTCGTAAGTCTCCGATTTTTGATTATGAAAAACATCTATAATATTCTTCGACTGACCGATGGACAACAGGTATGACAATCGCTCAGATGATCGAGTCAATGGCTGGCAAGGCTGGTGCTCTTCACGGCCACCCCCAGGACTCGACGCCCTTCCAATTCTCCGAAGAGAACACCGCCGCCGATTACTTTGGCCACCAACTCCGCAAGGCAGGCTACAACTACTTTGGCAACGAACCACTCTACAGTGGTATCACCGGTAAAGAGTTCGCCGCCGATATCTTCATCGGTGTCGTCCACTACCAGCGTCTCCGTCACATGGTTAACGACAAATTCCAAGTCCGTACCACCGGTCCCGTGAACTCCTTGACCGGCCAACCCGTCAAGGGTCGTGCCAAGGGAGGTGGTATCCGTGTCGGTGAGATGGAACGTGACTCCCTCATTGCCCATGGTGCCGCCTTCATCCTCCAAGACCGTCTCATGAACTGCTCCGATACCCAGCGTGCCTGGATCTGCCGCGACTGTGGCTCCTTCCTCTCGACCCAGGTCGCCCTCGCCGGTGGCTCCGGAAAAGCCCGCAACCAGGGCGCAGCCGCTGCAGCCGCAAAAGCTGCTTCTAGCCAGCTTACTCAGGCCAGCGGCTCCTCTGGCATCGTGCGCTGCAGACGCTGCGCCCGTGAAGCTGTCTTCGATGACTCTCGTGCCATCACCTGGGAAGACGGAGACGGCCGGCGTTACGTCGGCGGTGATAACGTCACTGTCGTTGCTGTTCCAGGTGTGCTTCGGTACCTGGATGTTGAGCTTGCTGCCATGGGTATCAGGATGAAGTTCAAGGTGGATAACTAATCGCCCCGCTCAAAGTGAGAGATGCATATTATAGCTTGCATCTCAGGGACAAAGTAAGATAGCAAAACACGACATGAAAGAACCTGACAAGATTTTACGTTGGCTCGGGAAAAAAAAGCTTGTATAGATGGGGAGTATTTAGCAATATTTTTGGTTCTTGGATGTGTCCATGTATGTACTTATCTATCTGGGATGAGATTTTTGTTTAGTATATCATAGCATTATAGTATTGTTTCATTTTCAACTTCATACTTATCTCTCTCTTTTTTAGTAGAATATACCAAAGTGCAACAACCGAGCTCTTCCAGTAACTGTAATACAAGAAAACGCACTCTTTGAACTGGTATCAATGAGATTTAGGTCCCCATTGCTGCTCACCATACAGGTACAGACTCATAGAAGGAAGTATCTTGTATGCCTAAGAAAAGAAATTTGATATATCATGTCCACCATGAGAAACCATCTAAGACACTACACATTACAACTCCGACGTAACATTCGAGAATTCGCCCTTCTCCAACTTCGTCTTCCAGAAGATCGGGTTCATGTCGTCGAAGCCGTGGTGCACCCATCCCTCTTCCTTAACATGGTACAGGTTGATGAAACCACCGGAGTAGGCATCACGGTGCATAGCGGCCAGGATACTTCTCCGACCAAGTTCAAGGGCCTCCTCCTCAGACAAGTCGTAGCGGTAATTGGCATCCAGCACACCGTAAGCGAATGTCTGACCGGATCCAACACAGAACAGGTTGCCTGGGAGTCGGGTGCCGTCTGAGTCGATGTAATAGAGAGCGGGGCCTTCTTGAGGGGTCATCTAATCACAGTAGAAACGCATTAGCTTCGACCTGTTCCTAGGGGTTATAATATAATGGGCCGGTTACATACTCCTGCTAACATTGTTCCCATGCTCAGACCGTATCCCTTGTAGGCGTATGTCAGGTTGGCGAGAATCTTGGAAGCGGCTGCAACAGTGATACGGCGCTTGTGGCGGATTTCTACCAATAGTTAGTATCAATGCATCTCAGCACTATGGTGGACAGAATGATAGACTAAAACTTACCATGAAGTGTGCACTGCTGACTCAAATATCTCAACCAGTATTGGCAATCCTACAACCAGTTATTAGCGCAATGTCCTAGGGTGCACCAAAAACATCCATAGAGCGCTATCCAGATTCCCAAACATAACAGGGGTACGTACCGCAGCACCACCCGCCATAGTACCTAGCAGACCGGGAGTCGGGGCATTGTTCGGCTTATCCTCACCACGACTCAACCGCGAGACGGGAATAACCTTCTTCACTGTCTGACTGGCAATCCAATTTCCAGCGGTGGCTCGAGAGTCTGTCGCGACAATCTATGAACCGCTTGTTAGCGGAGAACGAGGGGACCAGGCAATAGGACGGCGTACAATTCCGCCCTGGAATCGGAAGGCCAGTGTTGTCGTTCCGTGGGCAAGTTTAATGGGGCAGCTTGGGTTTGAGTGATCATCGGTCATAGCACGGAGCCAAGATCTTGACTAGGCGAAGGGATCGGGTTAGCTAGAGTCTCCGCTTCTTCGGCATGTTATATGATGTGTGTGGTCTTCCGGCGTTGGGTAGGTAAGCGGTAGCATCGCTACCACGCTCTTCCGAGTACCGACACCATACAAAGGTTTCATTGGGTTGGGTTGTAGCTCACGTTGTCAACAGGAGGAAGGTTGAATTTCAGAGAGAGGGGAGGAAGGCTCTCTGTGAGGTCATGTTGTTCTTGTTCGGAATAGAACTCATTCTGATGGGCCGGGCGGCTATATTGGGCGACCAACTTGTCCATGACGGGCGGCTATCTAAATCGGGATCTGAAAAAGGGTGACAACAAGCCGTAGTTGATACACAAGCGTAGATGAAGAGGAGGTCGGATGGGAGGAGGTCGAGCTTCTGGGCGGGAAGAGAAGCTTCCCAGATGATGCTGTAGCTCCGTCCGCGTCACGCCTGCCGCCTGGGTCACGTGGCCATATCGCTTACTTCAGACCTTATCGCTTTCCATTCCATACTTCATATGGATCGATCTCTACTATAGCCTCTTCACTCAGTCTACACTGAAGAGATAGCCCTTCGGTGGTGATTTTCTTGGTGATCTGCATTACATGTTCTTATTCGCATACTAATATACATAATAATACTTGAAAAACGACATAGGGAATAAACCAAGGGAAGACATCACGATTGACCAGCTTAATATGGGACAGCGACGGTTTGAGGGATGCCCAAAGCTGCCTGGGGCTGCTCTTGGAGCTTTTCCCGAATAGATCCATTGGTATCATCCGTAGCCTCTGTCACTTTTGTTGCCTCAGTTCCTTCCGTCAGCTCAGTGGAGGGCTCTCCAAAGCGCTGAGTCGGACCTGTGATGGAGTCATCGATGCTTCTGCTGCTCCCGGCGTGTTCATTGACCTCCTCGGACACATCTGTGACAGATTCGTCCCAGCTTCTAGCTGCACTGATGGGCCCAACATGTTCCTTTGTTCCCGGAATAGTGTCCTGGGCTCCAGATGTATACCCAGTAGCATCGGGAGTGGAGCCATATACGCCCCTAGCTCCCTGCGTACTGGACTCCCCGTAACCCCCGGCTCCAGTGGCGGTATCAACACGTTGCTTAGTTCCCGGAATGTAAGTGATAGCATTACTAGGTCCACTATACGTATCCCTGGTTGGCTCAACAGGCGCTGTTACAGGCTCTTGGTACTGCTGGGCTTCGATCACAGGCGCAACACCCTCCTGAGTCCCAGAACCATACTCATGGACATATTCGTTGGCACCTTGAGTCTCGGGAAGATACTCCTCAGTGTAACGAACATCTGAAGCCGAACCATTAATATCCCTAGTCGAAGCAGATATCTCACGGCCATCTGCTTCAGACGAGCCGACGGTTAGTGCCTGACTATCCCGAGCCGCACGAGCTGCCGGGGCTGGAAGGAGTGTGCTATCATGAATGTGTCCAGCCGAGGTCGGGATAGGCACTGTGGTACTCTCCCAGGAGCGGAGACCTCTCTCGGCATCTTGAATGATCTGACTCGCCTCATCGCCACGGTCATAGTCTTTCCGAGGCTCCCCTGGGACAACAGGCGAGTCATCGAGGATACCAAGCAGACGCCGGGCATGGCGGGCGAGCAAAATCTGCTTCTCGCCTCTCTCAATGACCGCAGCCAAGTGGATATCGAAAGCCTCCTTGAGTTTGGCCCTGGTCTATGAAAACTTAGCAAATGACGCAATTATTATAGGTAGCTAGAGTTGACACGAACCATATTGGTCAACTGAGCCTCAGCAACCAAGCTCTGCGCTTCCGCTCTCACAAGCTCCTGTTCTAGTGTCTCCAACCTGATACTCTCCGGGTCCCTTATCTTCAGCTTCGCGATATCGTCCTGGATCTTGGCTCGATGGTTCCGCGACGGCTGAACGGAGTTTTGCGTTTCGCGAATGTGCTTGAGAACAATCCGATACTCCTCCAGATAAGCCGCAAAGATCTCCTCCTGATCGCCCATCTCGGCGAGCAACACACCCAGTTTATCAGTGATGTCTGATACGGCGTCGTCTTCCGTGGCCTCCCCCCAGTCGGAGAGCTCTTTCGCGGTGGACACACGCTCACGACCGGCCTTCTCATAAGCACTGATAGCCGCATTCTCATTCTTGATCAAGCGGTTCATCCTCTTGCCCAGTTCAGGCTGCTGCATACCGCGCAGCGTCGCGAAACTGAAGCGGCTCCGCGAAGAAACCGAATTCCTTCTTCGCACCGATAGGTTTCGATTCCTAGGTCATATTAGCCGAGCACTTAAATTCTGCCATTGATCCTCGTACATGGTTGCGGATGAAACCAATCAAGATCACAAGGTAATCAACACTTTAAGTCACAAAAAACTTTTTTTCAAAAGTGGCGGAATGTGATTGTCGAATTACTGATATAATATCCTAATTGAGAATTGCGCCTTCCTCGCAGATCAGACAATACAGCTTAGCAAATGATATACACAGTTGGAAATTCGCAGGTTAGAACAGTACTAAACTAGATTATATGAATGTTCGAAAGTACGTACCAATGTTCATCATGTAAGGGGAGGATCCGCGCCATATACTTTGACTTTTATGATAGCATCGATCGTGGGAACAGTACTGACGTCATGCGGGATAAGCGGAAGCTTTGAAGTCATATTGTCCGAATGCAGACAAAGCGAAGCATAGTTACCATGGATAGAAGTCCTCTTTGTAAGGCTAGGGGGCGAGTTTCTCCTAAGCTTATCTGATCAATGCTTGGTTCGGGATGAGATCATTTGGCAGTATAGCCACGGATACAACCATTTGCACCTGAAGGAACATCTGGTATTCCGAATCTGTTTGACCAACAGGAAAGAAACAAAGGAAAATGGAATAGAAATGATTAGAAGAAAAAGAATAATAATAAGAATCAAGAAAACGCTTTGACCAAACTGTCTTCAAGCCCAAACAACGCACCCCATAAAACCCCAAACCCTAACTCCCAACTCCAAGATCATCTAACAGTTTCTACACCCGAATATACTCCACATCCTCCTCCCACATAGGTCTCCTCCTCTCCCTCTCCCTCTCCCTTTCCCTCTCCCTCACTCTCACTCCCCTAGCTTCAGGCTCAATATACTCCACACACCTTCGCTCAGGCAAGAAATCTCGACTCCCAAGCCACCATCCCTTCCATCTTGAAATCGGAAGCGATTCTTCCACTGTACGAATCCTCCGTCTCGACACTGTAGTATAAGACGACCGCGGAGACTCGCAGTGATGTGAATGAGAATGTCGCGGAGGGCAGAGGCTCGTTGAGTCGTGGCTATCACTACTGCTGGAACTGGAGCTGGAGCTGCTGCTGCTGCTGCTGCTGCTATGCCTGCGACGGCGACGGTGAGAGGGAGGCGGGATTGAGACGCGCATAGGTGGATTTCTGTATTCGACGACTCGGATGCAGGGGCCTTTGCCTTCGTCGACCTCGAGGAAGCACATTTTCTTTCTTCCCGTAGTGGGAGGTGGATGGGGTTGAGTTGTGTAGGGTTGTTGAAGTAGAGAGAAGAGAGTTGGTATAGGTTTGTATACTGTTGGTGTTTGTTTTGAAGATATCTTGATCTGTGTCTTGCTTCGGTCTTCTTGTCATTAAAGTGTATTCTGACGAGTAGACACCAATCTCGGGGTGATGTATAGATAGAAACAAGCTTCCAGAGATATATTAGTAAAATAAGCTTGGCTGGGGGTATTTGCTTTATAAGTGTACTTCCAAATTATAGTAAGTGAGTGAGTAATAATGTTACCTGGTCAGATCATCTACTCTGGAGTCCAGCCTGACATTTGGAATCACTTGATCGGGGCCCGTCATGTGGGTGAGCGGGATCCGATGACATACTCATCTATCACCACGTATGTATTGTATATTCTATTGAATATAATAAATATAACGGGGAAAATGTCGATGAGTACTCTTTTGATTTATAGATGGTCACTTTGGCGTGTGACTGACGAAGCTTGTGTGTATGTTTTTGTTATGGGTTATGTGCTATATATAAAATTACGGGTGACTATAAATTTAGTATTAGGGCATGCACTGCCCTTCCAAGCTCCTTTTCCTGCTATTCTGCTACGTATACTTTTTTACTTACATATACCTACCTACGTACCTATCTATCTATCTATCTATCTATCTATCTATATATATATATATGTGTGTGTGTGTGTGTGTGTGTGTGTGTGTGTGCGGTATAATTCGCACATTGATGTTCTGGATTAATTTATTTATAGTCTTAATTTCTGTTCTAGATATGTCTAATACCTTTGTTCACTCCATAGGTGAAGGCACTTTGGAGGTCTGAAGAAAAATATTTCATGTTTATTAGAGAGCTTCCCAATCTCTGCGAAAATATAGTAGATTATGAACACCTATTAAGTAACGATAACTCCAACCGACAATAGGTCTAGGATTCCCTTGGAAGGACGTCTTCACCGCTCAAATAATAGATATTCCAGGATGGTGAAATTTGTCTGGTTCACGCGAGGGTAATAGACTGCTGGATCTTGTTTCCAAAAGGGCTTGAATACTTTCTCTTCCGATAGGTGCAGTAGATTACTATTATTGGTTAGCCATTGGATAAATTCAGAAGGTCAAGCCCTAATACACTGTACACCCTTCCTACTGAGTTGACGCTTTGCCATGACATAAAAAGGGTAAAAAAAAAAAAAAAAAAAGTTCAAACTGATGGCTGATTTGTTGCTGAGGAAGGAGAGGAAACCATTCGCGCGTCACATCCTTAAATCTCTCTCTCTCACATTACGGATTATATTAGAGGACTTCAGGCCAATCGTCATCTAGAGAAATGGATTTATAATTTGTGATGTATCTTTAGCTCTAAATTGTGAAAGCGCCGGCACGTTCCCCAACTAAGCCAAATAGGTGACTATGATCAGACTCTACGGTCTGCAGAATCTGCCCCCGATCACACCGATCCACTAGCTACGCCGTGACAACAACGCAGTTACTTTCCCTCAAAGAAGTCCATGTTGTGAGTCGGTATGGTCCAACTACTGCGCAGGCTTTTGACTGGAGTGCTCACGCGTTTGTAACAGTTGCATCGCTTATGCAATCAATCGGAGAGATAGATAGATAATCTAGGAGGAAGACCAGGGGAAAACATTGACGAGGGTGGGATTCAACCATGCCATTTTTCATGACGTGGAAACTTCTGATGAAGAAGCTCTGATGGACAGGTTAATCTGGACCATGCCTATTTTGAGATAAGACGATGCCAAATCTCCTGCATATCACTTTGAAACGTAATGCACCACAAAGAAGCAGTACTGGACCGAGTCAACACCATCACCAGAATGCTCGGGAAAAACCTTCGGGTACTCGGGTGGATAAGTGGAGATGGT